AGTCCTTCGGTCGTGTAACTTGTTGGTTGAACAAAAGCGTCCTGTACTTCAGTGGGGTGCGTTCACTTTTGATCTTGTATGGACGATCGTGCAGGTGATTTGTGCAGGCAAACTCGAAGGAATCTTCCGGTCTCAGTAAGTAACCATGGCTGCGGGTAATCTAGTGCGTCCAGAGCAGGCTCCATCTCAGCTTCCCGTAAGACGATGGAAATATTTCAAGTTTTTTTTTCAACATGTTTTGTTGACCGTCTACCGACCACCAAGAAGTGACCTCAAGGTTGACGCTAGTCTGCTGCAGACGTTAACAAGATAAACAACTTGGTCTGACGTCTCAAATATGGGCGACTTCAACGCTCCGTCGATTGAGTGGTGGTCCAGAGTAAGGGTTCGACCGACGTTTGTTGGTCCTGACACTCGTTTTACCTCTTACTCAGCACGTCCTATTTCTCCTCAGGGTGTGTTAGGGACAGCAATCAAACTGTGTAGACCTGATACTCGCGAAATCGTTGGTCAGCATCGACCAACGTCTATCTCCTCTAGATAGAAGTGACCATGTCGTACTTCATTGGGACTATTCAATATTTTCGATATCTGAAAAGTTCACTAGAATTAGAGGAAAGATTTGGCGTGGTAACTCGATCAAATGAAGGCCGAAATCAAAAACATTAACTCCCAATCTACTTTTTTCCCGCACTGTAGCTGGAGATTGGTAAGGGTTCAGTGAAATATTTCATACTCTTCTCAGAAAAAACTTTCCGATTTCACGGAAGAAGCTAAAAACAGACCCCAGTAGCTGACTCAAGTGCTGAAGAAATAAGTGAATAAAAAACGAAGGTTGTGGAGGAAATACCTCGCTGAAAGTCATTCTATATGAACTAACACATAAAAATCGCAGAGTAGCCTCGTGAAGTGACTTATCTTCAGGACATGCCAGGATTGCGAAAAAGACCTGTTGAGCTGTGCAGTCGCAAATCCGAAGATATTTTATGCCTACTAGCAAATAACCACACGAAATCGGGACCCCGTCTTCATACTGAAGGCAAACGACGAACTAGAAATTAGTAAGAATGGAGCAAAAGCCGAGCATCTTGAACACTTTTCTTAAGTAGCACCTTACGATTAGGAGCGAATTGATCCCTCCCAACTTTGGCTTAGATGGCGGTCCAAAGATTCATAATGTATCTTACGTCGAAGCAACTGTTCCTCGGGAGTTGCTGGCGCCAATTTAGTCGAAATCGCTGGGTCCCGATGATATCTCGCCCAAAGTACTG